AGGGAAACTTGCTTTCCTTTGCCTATGGGATGGCCAAGCTGGTGGGGGAGGGTGGCAGGGGAGCTAAGGAGGGGGAGAAGCCCCTGGGAGGGAGGGGAAGTTCTTTATAGCCCAAGGCGGAATTTTATGGTATATGAATTATATCTCAAAAAGAAAAAAAATTCTTTAGGGCCCAGGAAACTGCTATGCTCAGGCAAATGACACCCTCATCCTGCATTTAGGCCCATCTCCTTTCAAAAACTAGAAGCTGAGTGGAGCCAGGGTGTTAGGCGCTGTGCCAGCCATTAATTTCCCTTCTCTCCCACCCCTCTCAAGTCTCACTTGTGGCTCCAGATCCTATTTCAACTTCAAGATGGTACAATATTTCCTCAGTAACTGAAGGGAAACTGTTTCCTTAGAAAAAGGTACTTGAGGCTCAGGGACTTCCTCTGGGAAGAGAGGCAGAGGTGGGTGGCTGCTGACATCCAATCTGGATAAAGCCGTCCTTTCTGCCAGAGAGAGAAACAGGACATCTAGGCTTTGACCTTCCAAGCCAAAGAGGGACAAACAGTTGGCCTAAGAGGCAGGAATGCACAGCCCTCAAGGGCCAGAGCCACATCCTGCCACAAGGCCCACAATAGAGCCCCTTCATTCAACATGTTGGGGACCCTTTAGGAACATGGTGGGCTGCTCCAGGAGGAATGACCCCAGCCATAGCTTTCCGTGTTTGCAGTTCAGTAAGGGAGGCAGGCAGGACTTTTGGCATCTTACAGTAGAATGATCAAGACCACAACCCTGCACTTTAGGAGGTGGGAGGATCGCTTGAGGCCAGGGGTTCAAAACCAGACTGAGCAAGAGCAAGACCTCATCTCTATAAAAAATAGAAAAATTAGCCACACATAGTGGTGTGCCTGTAGTCTGTTACTTGGGAGGCTGAGGCAGGAGGATCACTTGAGCCCAGGAGTTTAAGACTGCAGTGATTTATGATGACACCACTGTACTCCAGCCTGGGTGACATGGCAAGACCCTGTCTCAAAAAAAAAAAAAAAAAAAGACCACAACCTCAGGGGTCGCTCAGCCCCTTAAACCTCAGTTTGCTCATCTACAGAGTAGGGTCAATAATACCAAACTTACAGGGTTGTAGTGAGGAGCAAATGAGGACGATGTGCCCCAATGCTGAACCATTTTGTTATTGTTAATAGGTCAGGATCTTGTCACTGTTCTAAGGTCACTTATTTACCTTTTCAGAGTCTATATCCTCATCTGTTAGATGGAGCAGGAAGACCTTACTTAGAAGGTGGTTGTGTGAATTAACTGAGATAAGGAGCACAAAAGCACCCAGATCAGAGCTTCATAGTTGGACTAGACAATTGAGGGTTCTCCATCCCTTGCTCAGCATTATTGTATATTATCTACGTCCCCACTCAAGGTTAGCCTTGGGGTCCTGCAGGAGCAGCCACTCACCTAGGAAGGTAGGGAGATGCTCAGAGGAGGCCCTTGGCTGGCTGAATCCTTAGGAAAGGAAGGTTTCAGACAACACGGCTTCAGATAATTCAGTCAGGTTTTGGGGAGATGCGGGCTGGGTGTTTCTAGGCAGCAAATAGATACCCCCTGGCTTCCATCTGTGGGCCTTAGTAGCTGGATATTAGCAGAGCCCTCCCTAGAGTGGTGTTTGGACCAACCCTTACCCAACTGGACAGCTGCCAAAGCTGTTAGGAGCATAAATTTACCTAATACGGGTGAAAATTTCCTTTATAAATTTCCTTTAATCCAGTTTTCAAACAGGTGAAAAAAAAATTTAAACAATAAAAAAGGCATACAGAGGTCAGCTGAGGAGATGGCCTCTTTCAGCCTGCTGCTGGTTTCCCGGTCATCCTGGCTGGTTGGACGCCAGACTACGCCGAGTGTGGGTTACCCTGTGGCCTAGACTTGCCAAAAGCTGTCTGTGGAGTTGCTGTTCTGGGTCTGCTTGGCAGGCTTTGCCGTCCCTTTCCCGTTGGACATCGTTCTCCACCTCCATGAGTCTGACAATTAGAGCACCCTGCCCTGCTCTGCATTCCCACCCCTCCAGGTCCAGCTCCCCTGACCCTGACCTTTTCCTTGCCAAAGCTCATAGTGTCTGTCTGGGCATCTAGGCCACTGTAGAAATCTTTCAACTTTTATCTATTCTATATTTCCCATGGCAGAAACAATTATTGCTAGAATTTAAAGGCCAAGATCAGCTGCAGGTCTCTGAGCCCTACCTGGACCCATTATGGAGTAAGAGTGCTTCCTTGTGGAGCATTTTTTAGAGACAGAAATGGAAACTTTCATACCAATGTTGACCTAAACAGAATGTGGTAGTACTGAACAGGATACCCCCGTGATACATTTGACTCTTTTTTTCCTACCAGGAAGGCCCTACAGCAGAAATCCCAGCAGTGAGCCCTGCTCCCCTGACCACCCGTCTTTGGACAGTCCTTGTTGACTGGGTACAAAGTCATCATCTTCTTCTCATTGAAACGATGGCTATGTTGTTCTAGTGCCCAAGGACACTAGACTAGAAGACTTGAGGAAGAGGCAGCAGATGTATGAAGGTTTCTATTCCTTGCATGTGACTTAGTTCTGCCTTGGTGTCTTAGAGTACAGTCTGCCATACTTAACTCCCAAGAGAAGTCGCAGATATTTAAGGCTAGTTTTTGTCTGCACTTTGCCTGTGCTGATATGGAGATCCCTACCAGTTTGACCAGAACTTTTAGGGAGCAAAATAAAAATGACATCCTTTGCTAGATGTGGCTAACACAAACTGTTCAGTAGGGCCACAATGCACTCCCACTCACTCCCTCCTTTTGGAGAAACTGCTCTTCCCCTCTTTCAACTATCAAATTCTCTCTGAGGATTCCAAACACAGGTCCCCCAACACCTGAAGGGAAGACATATGACAAAAGTTGACCAATCATATCATCACATCTGCCTGGGCATAGTGGTTTGGCAGAGGGGAGGTATGTGACTTGGGCTGGGCAATCAAAGTCCTTTCCAATAATTTTATGACTTGGAGATGGAGGATGGCTGCTCCTATCCTTTGCCAGGAAATAAAAGCCATGCAAGAGAGCCTGAAAGAATTAAGCAGTGAGTAGAAATGGAGAAATGGAAAAGAAAAAGAGAGTATTGTCTGGATAGTGTTCATCTGTCTTTCTCTCTGATTTGTTCACTTGAAATAAAACATATCCCTTTTAGTTTTAAGTTTGTTGGAATTGGGTTTCTGTCACTTGCAATGGAAACAGAGATGAGGAGAAAATTCTGAGACAGCTGAAGGCCCAAAGATAGTAGTTGGTGTCATCTATATCTATACCCTGTTGTTTTTTCAATGCTTTAAATTTTTTGTGGAGACAGAGTCTCACTATGTTGCTCAGGCTGGTCTCAAACTTCCACCTTCAAGCGATCCTCCAAACTTGGCCTCCCAAAGTGCTGGGATTACAGGTTTCTGTTTTGTTTTGTTTATAGAGACAGGGTCTTGCTCCGTCCCCCAGGCTGGAGTGCAGTGGCCCAATCCTAGCTCACTGTAACCTCGGACTCCTAGACTCAAGCGATGCTCCTGCCTCAGCCTCCTGAACGTGTCTATATCCTTTCTACTGTGTATACATGTACATTTGCACAGGCTTGGTGTGCCAAGTCAACATGCCCTAGGAAGGAACTGATTTTATGTTAGCTATTCAGAAATAGCATGTACGTCAAAACCACCAGTCTACAGATTTGACTTCGCTGCAAACTCCCTCCCTGACCTTGGGCAAACCCTCTCTGGATCTTAGGGTGATCAACCATCCTCACTTGCTGGGGACTGAGTGGTTTCCAGGGTCATGAGACTTTCATTGCCACCAGTTCCTGGCCAACCAGGACAGCTGGTCATCCGAGCTTAGTTCCATATCTGTAAAAACGAGATTGGACTGGACAGGGATGGGAAATTCTGCCAAACCCTGCACTCAGGCAGACATTGCCAATTGACCTTGGCACTAATTCTTATGAGTTTATGTGTATCCTCACACTCCTTTGCAATATGGCCAGTTACAGTAGTCAGAGTTGGCACTTATTTGCCATCCTTGGACTGAATTTTTGACAAGCTGGAATTTTAAGAATCAAGATTTGAGGACCAACTTAGAGTCAAACTCTGCCATAAAATGCGTTTCAGACTTTCTCCAGCTCTGGCTAAATGAATTCCCTAGAAGTTACGGATCTTGTTTTTTTGGATCTGATTGCATATATGGGTAAATATAGGGACGGGCAATGGATTACATATATAATTCAGCGTGTTCTTCTTTAGAAACTTAAATTTATTGAGAGCCCATTACGTGCTAGACCTATATAAAGGCTTTAACGCTAACACTGCAAACTTACGAGTGTCTGCATTTTGGAAATAAGGAAACTGAGGCTTAGCCATCCAGTTCTTGTCTAAGGCCCCAGACAGCGGGCGGGCAGAGCTGAGTGGAATCCCGTCTAAGGCCCATCCGACTCCAACAGCCACGACCCTTCCACCATGATTCGGTTGGATTCTTTGGTCTGTTTCCACCTTCAGTCTTCGATATGCACAGCCTACAGCCCTCCCCGTCGGTTTGGGGGACAAAAGTCCCCAAGGACTTACGTTTCCTCACATTCCAGTGACAATCTGGGGTTACTCCGCGCGGCTGGGGAACCCAGAAGTTCTAGATAGTCGAGAAAGGGAGGAAGAAAAGGCCCTGCGTGGGCCACTCCCGGTTGCCAAGGGTTGGGCAGATCTCCACAGGGCAGCTCCACACTGAGTGGCACAAGGGCTGGCAAGGGGAAGAGCTCCGCGCAGCGGAAGGGGCCCCAAGTCTGCAGCCCCGCCGCTCCGCAAGCTGACGGAAAGCGCATGCGCGGTGCGGGCCGCGGAGTTGTGAATGGTGCGTCTTGTTTGCTGGAGTTTGAGGCGGGAGGGCGCGCGAGGAGGAGGGGTGGGGCCGGCGGGGGCGGGGCGGGAGAGCGGGGGGGGCGGCGAGAGGAAGTGGCGGCGGCGGCGGAGGCCGGGGGCGGCTAGAGCTGGGTCTGCGCGGGCGGTAGGCAACGGCTGAGGCGGCTGCGGCGGCGGCTGCGGCGTGGGCAGGGCTCGGGCGGGCGGCGGCACCTCAGACTGCTCGGAGCGGGAGCCCACGCGGGCGGGCGCCTGAAACAAAGGGAAGCGGGAGTCCGGGCGCCGGGGGTGGGCGGTCAGTCGGTCAGCGCGGAGCCGGCGAGTGGGTGCCCGCGCAAGCTCCGAGCCCGGCCGGCTGGCGCGGCCTTAGGGCGGGAAGATGCCGCGCGTCGTGCCTGACCAGCGAAGCAAGTTCGAGAACGAGGAGTTCTTCAGGAAGCTGAGCCGCGAGTGTGAGGTGAGGCGGGCGGGCGGCGCAGAGGCCGCGGCGCGCCCGGAGTGGGCCTGGGAGGAGAAAAGTTTGGGCGGCGCGGTCCCCGGGAAACCCCGGCCGGCGCGTCCGCAGAGGGGCAATCTCGCCGGGGCAGCGATCTGTCCGCAGACTCTGCTTGCTCTTATCGGCGCCGCGCGGGGCGGGCGCGCGGGCGTCGCCGCGGATTTGGCTTCTGATTTCGGGCCGTCTCTGCCTTGCAGATTAAGTACACGGGCTTCAGAGACCGGCCCCACGAGGAGCGTCAGGCGCGCTTCCAGAACGCCTGCCGCGACGGCCGCTCGGAAATCGTAAGTCTCCGGGGGCTGGGGCGCGCTTGGGTCACTTGTTGCGCTGGGGCCGCCGCGGCCCAGGCCGGTTCCGGACAGCGCCGCGGACGCCGCGGCTCCCGGAACTGAGCGGGCTGCCGTCTCACTTCCTACTCGGGATTCAAAATGCGAAACCAGACACTGGCGGGCTGGTCCTCGCGGGGAGACGCTTTCCCTGTGGCCCGCTGCGGTGGCTTGTGTTTCCCAGAGCTGGCTCGGCTAACAGTTCACCGGGAACAGAGCTCAAACCCCAGCCAAACTAAACAAGAAAAGGTCGCTGTATAGCCCGTGACACCGATTCAGGGTATTTGTAGGAAGAAAACACCCATTAGGAAAAAGGAATCGGGGCTTCATTCAAAATCAGCGATAGTTTGTTTCTTAAAGCTAGATTTAGTGGTAAATCTACATGTAACGCTACCTCGCTACCAGTATAGCCAAGAATAAATCTTTACTCCAGTTATATATTGTCCTAATAGAGGTGGGAGGGAAAAAAGCCCTAAAGGATCTGTTCTCATCTTTTCTGAGAATCAGAAGAAGCCTCAGGAGAATCAGAAACCATTAGCCTCTTTTTTCAAACCTAAACATGTCCCGTTTAGTGCTGTAGTTCCTAAAGAACTGCATAGATATTCGAAACCCTCGGTGGATTTCTTCTGAGGCCCCTGTTTGGGGTAGTAAATTTGGTGCTTTTTACCTATCAAACTTTGTATTGAAGAAAAATCCAAGTGTCCTGGTTCTCATCTTTTGGTTTGTCCTATTGGAGGTGCTAATGAGAAGTGAATGGTAGGAAGGAACTGAAGAAAAGAGGTTGATTATTTTTTAGAAAGTCCAAGCACTAAGACCTGTCTGTTCTGTGACTGGAGCTCATTGCATTGGCAGAAACGTGAAGCTATCGTGCAGTTTGAATTTGGGCTAACAGTAGGAGGACATATTGGAAAATTTACTCTTCCTGCCCCCTTTATAATCAGTTTATTTATTTTTATTGAGATATAATTCACATACCACAAAATTCTCCCTTTCCATCACCAAAATCAAATTTGCAAGGAATATTTTGATATTTAAAATGAAGGCTTTTTAGAATTGTATTACAGGTAGTGAGAAGATATTAATTACATTTATCTAGAATATTTGGTCATTAATGTACATTTTGAAAGAAAATTTTCAGCTTTTAGCCGACTTTCAAGTTTTTTGAGTAGTTTTAATACTGATATGATTCAGAGGTATACGACAAATGCTATTTGGTTTTGGCACTCTGTGGTAGAAAAAAAGAATCATTCATTAGTTGGTCTGGTGACTGTATCATTCTTTGCCTCGGTTTCCTTTTGCAAAAGGTGGATGGGACACCTGACTAAAGGATTTCTTGGAGGTAACTGATGTAATTGTAAAAGATGATATACAAAGTATCCCACTTTCACTTTTTTTTTTTTTTTTTTTTTTTTTTAAGGGACAGAGTCTCGTTTTGTAGCCCAGGCTGGAGTGCCTGGCTGTTCACAGGCGTGATCATGGGGCATTACAGCCTCAAACCCCTGGGTTCAAATGATCCTCCTTCCTCAGCCTCCCGAGTAGCTGGGACTACAAGCATGCTAGCCACTGTGCCTGAATCCAAGTACTGTCACTGTTTTTGAAAGCTGAGGTTTTTTGGAAACTTAGTGAAACAAGCTGGTAGGGTGTTTTCTGTCATATCAGACTTTGCTGCATGAAATTAAGAATTGAGGGGTATAACTTGATTCACAGTATATCTGAATTGCTGTATTATAATAGTATTACAATATTATAGCAGTGTTATAGGTCATTTGTATTTGTCATAAATTTCTTTCAAGGATGAATTAGACATTCTAGGTTCCCCCACCTTCCAAATATCTGATCCCACAAATTTTAGAAGTTTTAGATTTCTGGTAAGTATTGAAGGTTAAAGAAGGTAGATTGAATTCTGGGTAAGATTTGCACAAAGACGGCACGTGTCTTATTTTGTTGAATATGGGAAGGAATTTTATGTTTCCCTCTCTTTGTTTCCCCCCTTTCGTTCAATGTTACCCACAATTAAGTTACAGGATCCTTAGCTCCTAGCATGTGGAGCCTTTACATTAATTCTGTATACACCCCTCTGGATATGGGTACTTTGCACAATGCCTTTTGTATCGTAGATGCTTGATTATTTGAATTTAGAGGTTACTTAATTTAATGGCTAAAATTTATCTCATGACTTATAAACAGGCTGTGGTTTCTACCCATTTGGTTGTGAAAAAGGCATTATTTTGCCTCTATTTTGACAGCAGCCATATATGGTAAGAATATAGATAGTTCTCAGAATTATTCCTAACCCTTCTCCTGCACCAGTTGCCCTTTTCCCTCTTTTTTTATTTTGAACATCTCCTTAAGGTATCAGTGAGGTTAATGAGGAATTTATTTTGCATTTAGATGTAAAAGAATTTAAGAGCTGCAATGCTCATCTCTCTTTAACTAAAATTCAACTAGACTCTTTATCGCAGTGTGAAATGAAAGTGATTATGGGTGAGAGAATCTGTTTGGTAAAATCCAATTTATTCCTCTTATGAATTCTTATTACAGTAAGAGTGTTGGAGATGTCTTCAATACTAATAATAAAAGAAAAAAATACTAATGAGAGGTATGGTGACTCTACTGTGAGAAGAGTAAAAACTAACTTTTTTTTTTTTGAGACAGGGTCTTACTCTGTTGCCTGGGTTAGAGTGCAGTGGTGTGGTCCTAGCTCACTGCAACCTCAAACTTCTGGGCTCAAGTAATCCTCCTGCTTTAGCCTCCTGAGTAGCTGAGACTACAGACACGTGCCACCATACCTGGCTAGTTTTTCTATTTGTTGAGGAGGCAGGGTCTTGCCTATGTTGCCCAGGCTGGCCTTGAACTCCTGGCCTCAAGCAGTCCTCCCTCCTTAGCCTCCCAAAGTGCTAGGTGTGAGTCACTGTGCCCGTGGCCTAGTATGTATTTTTAATCCTGAAGATTGAATGGTAAAAAGTATGTTGGATGGCACAAAGTATGTCATTTTAGAATTTATGAAACCTATAAAAGGTAGTCAAGACAACCTGGAAATCTTGCATATAGACATTATACCAGTATAACATTTCAATGTTTTCTGTCAGAATTTTTCCCAACTCTTATGTCTGTATAGGTGTTCCATTAAAAAGAGTTCTGTGATCAAATAAGTTTGGAAAATGCTATTCTAGAATGTGTTTTTTACCACCACTTCAGTCTCAAAGAAGGATTTTTATGAGATAATGGGCATAAAGTGATGAAGCAGGAAATCTCTTCTGAGGTTGGCGTTCAGACAGAAGGTGAGGTAATAACATCTGCAGAATGTCTTAGCAGAGAGCTGATTTGGGGTACACTGGAGGTAGTAGGATTTGCTACTAGGTGAATACTGAAGAAACATGCCTCAGGGATTTTGACATAGGGCATTCATTCATGGGCTAAATCTCTTACCTGCCATCTCTCTGCTCTGAGAATTTCATTATCTGAGGCTGAATAAGTTGGTTCTCTTATTGAGCCCACAGTTATTTCTCTTATATTGTTTAGCAGACACTTACACAGCATTTACTTGGTACTGTTCTAAGCACTTTGCAAATAGTAATTTGTGAGGAAACTGGGGTACACTTCAAGTCACGCAGCCTAGGCAGGTTCCCTCCCAGAGTCTGCTTTTCATTTGAACTAGTGTTGGTGGGGCTTTTGATGATTATGCTAATAGTACATGGGAAGATATTTTTAAAGGTTAATGTTGTAATATTGATGTTAGTTTCTGTTCATATAAAATATTTACCACAAGAAAATGGTATCCCAGTTGATTAAGGAAATGCCATCAAAGAAGTCTAGAGATTTAGCAATTAGGTTAACAAGTGTACCTACAGTACCGATAATGGAAATAGGAAGTATAATTTTAACCTCTAAAGAATCTAAGCTGTTAAGCATCAAGGGAACTAGTGGATAGCTAAATCAGCTGATGGATTTTTAAACAGATTGCCCCAAATGTGAACCCCTTGTTTTCAGATGAAGATTCTATTCTTCGAAACAAATTATGCTTCAGAACTTAATTAATACAATAAACCAAATGAAAATTTTCTCTGGTTTCAGCAAAGAAGAATTTACATTTTAGATGATGAAAAATGTATTTTTTCAAAAATGCTTTTTACTTATTTCTTTCTTTCTGAATTTCTCTTGGGAAGAATGGTAATGTTATTTTTGTTTTTCACATGGGGGAAATTTAGACTTAACTTGCTCAAGGGCTACATAGGATGACACTTTATCGAAATGGCTTTAGATTGTTCTGTCTGTTGAGCTGTACCACCCAAATCTTTTATAAATATTAGATGAATACTCTTCTCTTTGTTATAGTCAGATCTAGTTCTCCTAAAATCAAGTTTTAAGAAGTGCATTTTTTTTAATCATCTCAGGTTTTAGAGAGAAGTAGTGTCATATCACATGCTAATGTATGGTTTATCACAGGAGAGACAATCCCAAGTGCATTTTTTATGCACCACGTGCCATCTAGTGTTTCTCTGAGCAAAGGAAATCAAAAAATTAAAATGTCTCATTTATACAATTTTAAATTGTGCTGTGAAATGTGCCTTAAAGTTCAAAATCTTTAGATTTTCACATTTGGAAATATAAATTTTTAAATGCAAGGGTGGTGGCTTCTGATTAGACATTAACAGTGTGAGATCCTAACATCAGCAAAAAATGACCTGAAAGAAAGTATTGATTCCATGTCTGATTTTATATTTAAGCAGCCAATGGCAAATGTCCTCAAAATGAAATCAGATGTTTGTAACTTAATACTTAAGAAAAATGATGAGCTCATGTTTTTTACTTTTAAGTATTCTCAGTGCTGCCTGGCTTAAGACATAAACTGATGTAAAAATAAATGACTGCCTGCATAATTTATGTAATGTCCTGCTCCTGATCCTGTTTGTATTGATTTTTCTAAAAGGCTTTTGTGGCTACAGGAACCAATCTGTCTCTCCAGTTTTTTCCGGCCAGCTGGCAGGGAGAACAGCGACAAACACCTAGCCGGGAGTATGTCGACTTAGAAAGAGAAGCGGGCAAGGTAGGAAACATTTCTTTGCAATTTAAAATACTATAGGTTGTTTTGTTAGAGATTATTTAATAATTTGTATATTAATAGAGATCATAGATTTGATTACATAGGCATATGATCGGATTTGTTTTCATTCCATGTTATAAGGATGTACTATAATTTTTTTTAAATCACTGTTAAACTTTTACATCACTCTGCTGCTAGTTTCATGAACATCATATTCATCACAGAAAGTTTTAGCCCTTAAATTTAAGAAATGTGTTTTCCTACATTTAACATTCAAAACTTAATTCTTTTAAAAGTGTTGACAGGATATTTTTTGTTTACTAAAATATATGTAAGTACAGTGCTGCAAAAAAATAAAATTAAGGGAAAAATGAAAAAAAGGCTCTGTAAGCTTCAAAATTAATAATAATTTAGAATTTTCTCATGGGTAACTTTCTAATTCTGTTAGCATAGCAAATTTAATTTTGAGAAAAACAATGTGAAAACTAACTTGGAAATGATTTGTTTTGAGGAAAAGTTTCTGGGAAAACAGATGCCTTACAATTTTGATCTTGCATGCTTAGATTAAAGATACAAAAAAATATAGGTGGAAATGTTCAAGCTGAGAGCCTTATTTAAAATCTAAGTTAAATGTATTATATGATTTTGGTGAAATTTTAATGAATAGTATCTTGGATTGGTTGATCCTTGATCAAGAAGTCAAGGAGTTGCCTTCTTGAAATAAAATTTTTAAAGGGAAAAAAAATTTTTTTGGATCGAATTTTATACTCATTAGGTCTCCTATTTTTTTGTAGTGTGTTTCCATACCTGTTTCTATCAACTTGCTAAATTACTTTTCTAAGTGTCTTCATGAATAGCATAACCTATCACTTTATTTGTAAAACATAAATATCTAAATTTTCCATTGAGAAAATTAAAAGATTTTTGTATTAAGCTGTTTAGGAAAAGGATTTCTAACCTCATATATATACAATGAAGAATTTTTTGTTTTCTTTAATTTTTTGAAATTAGGTTTGATCTCTTGTGGGTGACAAAATAACTAATCTTCAGAGTGAGAGAGGGAAAATAGATTATAGGATTTTAAAAATGAGTAATAATCAGATAATTTACTTATCTGTGTATTAGTTTGTTTGCTTAGAAATTAAAAGCAAATGTTCCAGGCTTTTCTACTTGGTAATTCTTATATAGTATTTAAGGAAGAACTTGGGAAATCATTGTAGGATTATTATTTTTTTTTTTTTTTGTCTTTTTGGTGCATGTGTGTGTGAAAATGAAGAAATTATTTTTTCCTTGTTTAAAACACTTATAGTTTAACGTAGTAGGTCAGATACTAAAGGCATAAACCAAAAAAATTTGTTTTCCTCTCTGCTTTAATGCAAAAACTATTTTAGGACTTCAAGATTGACATCTCAATGTTACTGAAGTCTTCCAGTATTTAATGACTAATAAATGGGTTGTTGGCCGGGCGCGGTGGCTCACACCTGTAATCCTAGCACTCTGGGAGGCCGAGGCGGGCGGATTGTTTGAGCTCAGGAGTTTGAAACCAGCCTGAGCAAGAGCGAGACCCCATCTCTACTAAAAATAGAAAGAAATTAATTGGACAACTAAAAATATATAGAAAAGACTAGCCAGGCATGGTGGTGCATGCCTGTAGTCCCAGCTACTCGGGAGGCTGAGGCAGGAGGATCGCTTGAGCCCAGGAATTTGAGGTTGCTGTGAGCTAGGATGACGCCACGGCACTCTAGCCTGGGCAGCATAGTGAGACTCTGTCTCAAAAAAAAAAAAAAAAATGGGTTGTTAACTCTACTAGAAGGTATGTTTGCTTGAATTAATTTAAGGATGTCACTTCACCAGTTTAAATACCACATTATCCTTGGACTTAGGCCATTGAGATGTTTTTAATTATGTGACCAAAAATAACAAAAATGTTAGGTGGCTTGTTCTGGTACAGTCATGTGTTGCTTAACAATGGGGATATGTTCTGAGAAATGTGTCACTGGGTGATTTCATCATTGTGTGAACATAGTATGTACTTACACAGATCTAGATGGTACAGCCTACTACACACCTAGGCTATATGGTATAGCCTATTGCTCCTAGGCTACAAACCTGTACAACATATTACTGTGCTGAGTACTGTAGGCAACTGTAACACAATGGTAAGTATTTGTCTATCTAAACATATCTAAATGTGCAGAAGGTACAGTAAAAAATACAGTATAAAAGATAAAAATGGTACACCTGTATGGCACTTACTCAATGGAGCTTATAGGACTGGAAGTTGCTCTGAGTGGGTCAGAGAATGAGTGGTGAGTGAATGTGAAGGCCTGGGACATTATGTACACTACTGTAGATTTTACGAACACTATACACTTAGGCTACACTAAATTTACCCAAAAAAAAAAAAAGTACTTGTGATACCATGTTATGCCAGCTGCAATGTCACTGGCCATAGGAATTTTTCAGCTGCATTATAAATCTTATGGGACTACCATCATATGTGGTCCATTGTTGACTGAAATGTTGTTAAGCGGTGCATGACTGTGTTTAGATTTGTTTTTCAAATTTATCAGGAAGAGTGATAGAACTGATGCAAGCTGTCAGAAAATGTATATTTTGTTAATATTGGTTTTAGAAGTTTTCCTATAAAGGGACAAATTGGAAATGTTTCTAGTTTTGCAAGCTAACAGTCTCTGTCACAGCTACTCAGCCCTGCGACTGCTTAACCTTGCTGTTGTAGTATGAAAGGAGCCATAGACAATATGTAAACAAATGAATGTGAGTGTGTTCCAGGAATGGTAACACTGGCAGAGATCAGTCTTTTTTTCTCAGATGTGAACCTGTAAATGTTTATGTATAGATCATGTGTTTCTCAAATATGATTTTGCCAACACTCTTACTGTACTAACAGGATCTAGAAGGAAGAAAATAGTTTAAAGCAGAAACTCCTGGTATATCGTTCAATACCACTGGGATAAAGTACTCCAATGAATTTAGAGAAAAGGTACTATCCTGTGTTTTCTCATCCATGGAGCTCAGACTATGGGATCTCTTATTTCTCTTTCTTCCTTTTTACAGTCTCTTTCTTATAACCATTAGATTTATTTCTGTCCCCACTGAAGCAAAGAAAATTGAAAGAATTTCTCCAAATGTTATTAATAATTATTTGCCTTTGTTCCTTCTATTGGATCCCATATCGGTGTCTTCCACATTCTCTCAACCTGGTTACCTCCTGAAGCATCTTAGTTGTTGCCCCATTCATATCCAGCTTTAAGGAAGCTATAGTGGTTAAGGCTTTAGAGTTAAGTATAGCTAAGTTAAGCTCTGGCTTCTTCATTTACTGCTGTGTAACTTTGGGCAAGTTATGTAACCATTATGGTCCTCAGCTGTAAAATGAGGTTAATGCATATTCCCAGGGTTGCCCTAGTGATTAAATGAAATAGTAATCCCGTACTGTACCTGACACAGTTATTAAAAAATTCATTCATTCAGGGTTGGGCATGGTAGCTCATGCCTGTAATCCCAGTGCTTTGTGAGGCTGAGGTGAGAGGATCGCTTGAGGCCAGGAGTTTGAGACCAGCCTGGGCAACATAGTGAGACCCTGTCTCTACAAAAAATTTTTTTTCAAAGTTAGCTGGGTGCGTAGTCCTAGCTACTCAGTAGGCTGAGGTGGGAGGATCCCTTGAGCCCAGGAGTTTGAGGTTAAAGTGAGCTGTGATCATTCATTCAGAAGATCTTCGATGGACACCTTTTGCATACTGAGCATTGTCCTAGGCACTTGAGATACGTCAGTGCACAAAATAAAGATCCTGCCCTAGAGGTTGTTTTGTGGGGGGAGTAGAGGAGTAGACAATATACATGATAAGTTATATAATATGTTACGAAGTGATAATAGCTCTAGAAAAAAAGGAAAGTAGTGTAGAATAAGGGTGATCAATGAACAGGAATGTTCGCAGGGTTTTTTTTTTTTTTTTTAAATATAGGATCTTGCTCTGTCGACCAGCCTAGAGTTCAGTGGTGTGATCATATTTCATTGCAGCCTCGAACTCTTGGGCTCAAGTGATCCTCCTATCTCAGCCTCCTGAGTAGCTGGGACTACGGTCATGCCACATGCCCAGCTAATTTTTTTTTCTTTTTGTTAATTTTTTTTAGAGATGAGGTTTTGCCCAGGCTGGTCTCAAACTCCTGGCCTGAAGCGATCCTCTGGCCTTGGCCTCCTAAAGTATCGTATTACAGGCGTGAGCCACGACACCTGGCCTGCAGTTTTAAACAGGGTGTTCTGGATAAAGAAGGTCATATCTGAACAGAGACCTGAAGGAAGTTAGAGAATGATGAGTCATGCAATATCTGGGGAGAAAGATGTTCCATACAAAGGAAATAGCCATGGTAAACGCCTCAGAGTGGGAGCTGGCACCCTGTGTTTGATAAACAGCAAGCAGGCCATTGTGGCTGGAACAGACTGGGAAAGGAGGGGAGTAGTAGATGAAATCAGGGAGATAACAAGGAGCCAGTTCATCTGACCAGGGTATGCCGTTGTAACAACATGAATTTTTATTCTGAGTGAGATGGGGAGTGGTTTTAGGTTTTTGAGCAGATGAATGATATGATCTGTGTTAAGTTTTAATAGGATCCCTCTAGCAGCTGGGTTAATAGTAGACCATAGGGGCAAGAGTAAAGCAGGCTATTGCAGTAATCTTGGCAAGAGACTAGGGTGGTAGCAGTAGTGGTAGTGAGAAACCGTCATAGTCTGTATGTATTTTCAAATAGAGCCAACAGGATTTGCCTGTGGATGGGATGTGGATTGTGAGAAGGAAAGGAGCTAAGAATGCCTCCAACTTTTTGGCTAGAGCAACTGGGAGTATGGAGTTGCTGTCATCTGAGATGGGAAAAGCTGTGTATGGAGCAGTTTTGAGGAGCAGGTTAGGTAAGTTTAGGGTATGTGAGTTTGTGGTATAGCTTGTATTGCAGCTTCTTTTTCCTCACCACCCATCCTTAACTCCCAA